ATTAGGCAATGCTGCTAAAAACATAAAGTAAGCAATGCATATTACAACCAACTCCAAGGTGATTGTTTGAGGTATGCACATATTTAAAAAGCAAAACAACTGACTGCCAAATGAAATCTCAAACATGCAGTCCAGTGATTTATCATTATTTAATAAAGATACCATTTAGACCTGTGAGTGCCTCAGATATAAAAGTGTTTAACAGAACTCATGATCCATGAAGTCCAGACTGATCATTCAGAGGAGGGTGTTTGGATTAACAGTGATACCTGTTTTACTATGGTGATCTGGATTTATTGTCATTTTGTATTTCTTCAAGAAAACAATCTGTCTTTTGCAAGCAAATGCTAAATCTCCTGATTGCCACAAAAAATTCTTCCTGATTCCAACCAAAGAACAATTGAAGTGTATAGATAAATCCAACGTCACCTTTTCAGATATAATAATTGTTGCCTTTCTTTCTGTTAGAGGGATGGTCATTTATGAAATAGTCTTTGAGCTGTGCATTTCAAATAACACCCTGTTTTAGAACATATTAGTAGCCAGGGTGTTTTGGACTATAAGCACATCAAATTTCAGTTAGCTCTTGTGCAAATAATTACTTTTGTGGCGAATGACTTCTGAGCAATTCTGTAATGTTTTAGTAGGTTGTGTGTAGAAATTCTATTTGCAGTTATTTCAAACAAGATTAATATTGGAATGTAAAGTACTAGTTATAATATTGTGACCTTGACAGACAGCCTTACTGTAATTACGCTGGCTCAATTTAATTTAAATTTTAAGGCTGAAGTCATGCCCGCACTTAATTGGGAGTAGATTCTATTGAAGTCAGTGGGATTAATTTCTGAGTAAACATGGCACAGTGTCAGGTTTTCTTAGTGTAAAACTACATATTACTTTTACTACTGTTTATTATAATGTAGTTAATAACCTCATCTACTTAAGTATGCATACACACCCATTTAATACCAGGTGTGTGTGATTTACATCAGAACATCACAAAGTGGTCTCACCCCTTCCTCTTTTTTTCCATGCAGTCTTAACTAAAAATAGCTCCTATTTACAATTTGCCTTTGGAAGAAGTTTCAATTAAAACCCCAGAGGCAGTTGCTAACCACAGATAAACTAATGTCTAGTTTGTCCCCACAGGTAACAGCAGGGCTGAGAATCTGCTCATATGCAACTCTATTTCACCTACTTGCCCAACAAAGTGTATAGACCTCAATCTCTGTATTCTAAAATGGGAGTTTATGATAAAAAAATTAAGCACAACTTGCTGAACTAAATCCTGTTGCCAATGTATGCTTCCATAAGGGAAACCACATAAGTCATAGAGGCATGGGCACATGCACAACCACAGAAGGAGGTACAATATGCACCCAGGAATGTAAACAGCACCTCATTTGTGGGAATATCACTCATTAATGTGCAGCAGTTTATCACCAAGACATATGAAGTTGCTCTTACACCAGCATAAACCAGCAATAGGATTCCATGTAGGGTCATCACAGTATATTGCAGAGAGTACAAAAGCTAACTCTACCATTTACTGTTGGCAAACCTTACAACAAAAGCAACAATGAGGCAAATCATGAACGCTTACAATCCGCCCATACTTTCTACAGAACTTTTAATAATTGTAATATTTGATTTTCTAAAAATGTTTAAATATTTTCATCAATATGAGAAATACACAGATACAGAAAATGCAGTTCCTTACCTGTACTAAATTCCATCCTATTAGGGATTCAGCAATGATGGATGTTACAGTTGTACATACTCCACCAAAAACCATTAAATGTGTAGGTCCATATTTTATTGCATCGTAGAAGGCTTTAAGTCCCTTTGCATTATCACACTGGGGAGGGGAAAAAAGCAAAAACAACATTTCATCATTAAAAACAATTATTAGTTCAGAGAGTTATGTTTTGCTACACCTAACATTGATAACGCTTCTCCACACCCCCCCCCCAAAAAAACACTTTGATAGCAAACGTGAAACAAGTCCTATGATTGTTAGGAATGTTTTTCCTTGGCTTGAAACTAAAATCCCTTAAAATTATGTACAGCTAAGCTAAGCCACCTAGAGTGGTCGAAATGACTAGATAGGCAGG